ATACATGTATTATGGATGGGAAAATGAACATGAATTTTGAGAAGAAATCATTAAATTACATAATGAGGAATATGTAGTCTATTAGTATGAGAAATATGACAAAATCCAGGTAGTAAGCAATAAATTTACATCTGCAAGTCAGCTTCAACTATAGAAATACTTTATTTCTTGTACTGAATATACATCCACATGAACACCTACATATAAAGTGAAAATTTAATATAGCTACGTAGTAACAGCTCAGTAAGGACGTTCAGTTATTAAGGATGACAAATGTACAAAAATCCCTATCAGAACTCCGGAGCATGTAAAAGGCTCCTGATTTAAGAGTTCCGGCATGTGAATGTCAGAGGTCAAAGCAATGAGCTATTAAAGATACTTTCACTTCCTCAGAAATAAAGTGCTGTCCTGGGCTTGGAGGGGAAAGGTTAGAAAAGCTGTTTATCTGCCACTCTGTTCCCATTCTTCCTTCTGTCAGGAAATCGTACATGCCCCTACACCCCACACAGGGTTAGCCCTGGGTCACGGTCCTTCCCCAAGTGCTTGCCCGCATTTGATTTAAGTGCAAAGACCACATGGCTGCAGGTTGCCTTTTCTCAAAACACACGTCTGGATGTAAAGCTCAGCTCAGCTAAGTCTCGGTGGGATGTAAATGCAGGGTCTCCACCGCTTTATTGCTAAAGAAGAGTGAAGCCATGGGCATTAGTTTGCATAAATTAAGGAGGTCATTCATTAACAAAAAGAAAATGATATTTTGTAGTAGATAGAGCTAGAATAAGAATTACAAAGCACGTTTAACCAGTGGGAAACCTGCAGAGAGGAGAGACAGGTTGTGTCCTCACCAGAAGCCATACGGCATGGTCAGGACAGACTGAGAGGAGCATAATAAGCAAAGAAACCACAGCACAAAGGTGCCACAAGACTGCATAGACAGGGATACACCACTGGGCTGAGTAGGTATAAGCAGAAAGAAACTGCCCGGAGCTGGAAGAGACCCCAAAGCAGTTGCTGTGACCCAGGAAGCCACTGAACAATTGCTGGATTAAGTGCAAAGCTGAAGGAAAACAGCTGTCTGCAGGCAAACAGTGGGCAAGGGGAGATTTATTTATATAAATTATTTATTATAATTAAAAATATTTTATGTATAATATACACGTATTATGTGTATATGTGTATGTATATGTATATGTGAGATGTGTGCACGTCTACGGGGGTATGATATAATAGGTACCACAGAAACATGGTGGGATGGCTCCTATGACTGGAGTGTTGGAATGGAAGGTTACAGGCTCTAGAAAAAACAGGCCTGGCAGGTGGGGAGGGGGAGTTGCCCTTTATGTTAGGGATAGGCTGGAGAATATGGAACTCTGTCTGGGGACAGGTGAGCAGTTAACAGAGAGTTTGTGGATCAGGGTTAAAGGGAAAACAGCTATGGGAGACATTACTGTGGGGATCTGTTACAGACCGCCTGATCAAGGAAAACCTGCAGATGAAGCACTCCATAGACAGATAGGAAAAGCTTCACGCTCACAGGCCCTTGTTCTCATGGGTGACTTCAACCACCCTGACATCTGTTGGAAGGACGGTACGGCCCGGCACAAGCAATCCAGGAGGTTCCTCGATTGTGTAGAAGACAACTTCCTTCTGCAAGTAATAGAGGAGGCGACAAGGAGAGGTGCCATGCTTGACCTCATGCTCACCAACAGGGAAGGGCTCGTTGGAAATGTGATGCTCCAGGGCAGCCTTGGATGCAGCGATCACGAGATGGTCGAATTCGAGATCCTCAGGACAGTGAGAAGAGCGTGAAGCAAGCTCCCTGCCCTGGACTTCAAAAGAGCAGACACTGGCCTCTTCAGGAACCTGCTTTGGAAGGTTCCATGGGATACAACCCTAGAGGGCAGGGGGGCCCAAGACTGTTGGTTGATATTCAAGGATCACCTGCTGCAAGCACAGGAGTGTTGCATCCCAACTATAGAAGGAAGTGCAGCAGGAGGGCCAGGAGACCTCCTTGGATGGATAAGGAGCTCCCGAGGAAAATTCAAATGGAAAAAGTGGCTTATAATAAGTGGAAGCAAGGACAGGTGGCCTGGGAAGAGTACAGGGATGTTGTCCGGGAAGCTAGGGACCAGGTTAGGAAAGCTAAGGCCCAGTTAGAATTAAACTTAGTTAGAGGTATTAAAGATAACAGGAAGGGATTCCACAGGTACATATAAAATAAAAAACAGACTAGGGAGAATACAGGCCTCCTCAGGAAGCTCTCAGGAGAACTGGCTACACAGGATTTGGAGAAGGCTGAGGTTCTGAATGAGTTCTTTGCCTCAGTCTTCACTGGCAAAGGCTCTGACCGGACCACCCAAGTCTTGGAAGGCAGATGCAAGGACTGTGAGAATGAAGACCTTGCACCCACTGTAGGAGAGGAACTGGTTCAAGACCATCTTAAAAATCTGAATGTGCACAAGACCGTGGGTCCTGATGAGATCCATCCGCGGGTCCTGAAGGAGCTGGCGAATGAAGATGAGAAGCCGCTGGCCATCATATTTGAGAAATCATGGCAGTCAAGGGGAAGTTCTCAACGACTGGAAAAAGGGAAATATAACCCCCATTTTCAAGAAGGGGAAAATGGATGACCCGGGGAATTACAGACCAGTCAGTCTCACCTCTGTGCCTGGCAAAATCTTGGAGCAGATTTTCCTGGATGGCATTCTAAGGCACATGAAAATCAACAAGGTGCTTGGTGACAGCCAGCATGGCTTCACTAAGGAGAAATCCTGCCTGACCAATTTGGTGGCCTTCTGATGTGGCTACAGAACTGATGGACAGGGGTAGAGCAGTTGATGTCATCTACCTGGACTTGTGTAAAGCGTTCGACACTGTCCCACATGACATCCTTGTCTCTTAATTGGAGAGACATCAATTTGATGGATGGACCACTCAGTGGATAAAGAACTGGCTGGATGGCCGCACACAAAGAGTTGTGGTCAATGGCTCAATGTAAGGCTGGAGACCAGTAACAAGTGGTGTCCCTCAGGGATCAGTGTTGGGACCGGTCTTGTTTAACATCTTCGTTGCTGACATGGACAGTGGGATTGAGTGTGCCAGCCTTATGAAGTTTAACCATGCCAAGTGAAAGGTCCTACACCTGGGTCGGAGCAATCCCAGGCACAGCTACAGGTTGGGCAGAGAAGAGATTCAGAGCAGCCCTGTGGAGAAGGACTTGGGGGTTTTGGCTGATGAGAAAATGAACATGAGCCGGCTTCAGTGTGCGCTTGCAGCCCAGAAAGCCAACCGTATCCTGGGCTGCATCAAAAGGAGCATGACCAGCAGGTCGAAGGAGGTGATCCTGCCCCTCTACTCTGCTCTCGTGAGACCTCACCTGGAGTATTGTGTGCAGTTCTGGTGTCCTCAACATAAAAAGGACATGGAACTGTTGGAACAAGTCCAGAGAAGGGCCACGAGGATGATCAGGGGACTGGAGCACCTCCCGTATGAAGACAGGCTGAGGAAGTTGGGGCTGTTCAGCCTGGAGAAGAGAAGGCTGCATGGAGACCTCCTCGCAGCCTTCCAGTATCTGAAGGGGGCCTATGGGGATGCTGGAGAGGGGCTCTTCATTAGGGACTGTAGTGATAGGACAAGGGGTAACGGGTTAAAACTTAAACAGGGGAAGTTTAGATTGGATCTAAGAAGGAAATTCTTTCCTGTTAGGGTGGTGAGGCACTGGAATAGGTTGCCCAGGGAGGTTGGGAATGCTCCATCCCTGGCAGTGTCCAAGACCAGGCTGGACGAGGCCTTGGGTGATATGATTTAGTGTAAGGTGTCCCTGCCCACAGCAGGGGTGTTGGAACTAGGTGATCTTAAGGTCCTTTCCAACCCTAATTATTCTATGATTCTATTCTAAGATTCTATGTGTATATAAAATAGTATGCATATTTTATATATAAACACATATTTATAATATGTGGTCTGCCTCATTCTGAGTTTTTTCAGTTTAGAGAAGTTTTTAATTCTAGTTAATGTAGTAACAGAATCTAGCTTGAAACTTAAAAACGCTCCTGACTGCTGAAAGGGCTCATTATAGAAAAGATTTAGGAACTTGTAGCTCAGAACTCTAACGGATCCAGGGGCTCACCGTATGTGAATGTTAGCTATAATGTGTATTAGTATTATTTACATACAGTAGTTCCATGCAATGTCTACATACATACTTGCTGGCATTTCATCTGAAGAATCAGTATGATAAACGAAGAAAACATTTGCTACCTTCCCATACCACATGTCCCCTTCCCAAGCCACAAGTGGAATATAGGAGTACACCTTTCTGTACAAAATGTCAGATGGCAGATTCATGCCATGGTATAAAATACTGTCCCTGATTTCTTAAAAGGTAATGTTGAACTTCAATTAAAAACCATTAAAAGATTCCAATTTAGAGCTGTTTCTGAAAGACAAGATTTGAAACAGACTCTTCATACAACTCTTTCATTGGCTTTCAGTAAGAAAAAGAAATTGTATTTCTGTATTATTTTTGATAAAAATAAAGCCATCAAATAATAAGAATATTAGAACATGTTAAGTAAATGAAGCGTTAACACAGATACTAGAACATGAACAATTAGTAATGAAGTCTTCACATGACTTGCCAGTTTTTTCTTTTCAACAACTTGAAGTTTTAAACAAAAAAATACATCAGCTTTACTCCCAGGTTAGGTGATGTTCCAGGTATCACAAATATATATATATATATGTATATATATATAAGTATATAACCGTAAGCAAAGTGCACAATCTCCATCTGCAAGCCTAATGGTAAACTACAGATTACCGAGGCCAAAACATCACCATCAGTTTCTGTGTTTTATTTGTTTCTAAAACCAGAACAATCTGTTATTAGTCTTGATCTTGAAAATGAAAATGTCTTGTTGTTTTCATGTCTTGATCATGAAAATGTCATGTTGTTTCAAGGAGCTTGAGAGTAAAGACTACATTATCAGCTATGTTCTTACCAAATTTATCAGCTGAGTGTGGACAATATCTTCAACCAGTACTGCAGTTTCATGGAGCGGCCTGCGAGCATCTCCCAAGGAAAACCTGGAAGAAAGAGGTTTATTGAAATGTTAGGAAAATGAGTAAAAAAGAACAAAATTGGTGTTCTCCAGAAGAATAAAAAAAGTATGAGTAATAGCAAGCTTAATTCACCTGCATGTACAGAAATTGATCACCCATTATGGTGCAGGAATATAAACCAAAGTAATCTTATTAATGAGGAAAAGAGCAAGAATGTAAAGCATATGGTGTGAAAATATGAAAAATTGAGGAAACAGAAGAAAATCCAGTTTGTAGAATCATTTGAAAAAAGTAGGCAAAGCTGTAGTACTCCTATGCTACCAGGAGTAATCCTGTATTTGCAGCATCCTTTGCTTAAAAAATATTTATTACCATATTACACTGGAATTTAAAATAATAATCGAAACATCACAGACTCAAAACAAGTGCTCATATACAATAAACATTTTTTTTTGAGCTGCGTGTGTACATTCGCATTAAAATTTACATTATTTTTTCATCTCATAAGGTATATAAAACCAAACAGGACCCAGTTATCACAACCATTCTTACTTTCTGGCCTTTTAATATTGAAAAGTCATTTTTCTTTTTTTCTAAGCCTTAAAATGAAAAATAAAACTGTGTGATACAGTAGTAACACCTGGTGCCAGCATTCTCATCTTGAATGTACCTTTTGTTCCCAGTCTTACTAAGCATTCCACACACAGAAATGAAAGGTTTTTAGTTTTCTTTTCTGAAGACACCAAAGTGCAAGAACAAAACAGGATGCTGCCTCTGCATTGAGATGCCTTCCCTGTCTGCGCTTAGAAGTCTCTCTCACAAGTAACTACCAGTCCCTCTGAATGGCACAAGAAGCAGAAGAGATGCAATCAAGATGCAGCATGTTGATCTGAGAGGAGACAGATATCAAATCTTGCTCCTTTCTGATGCAAAAGGGTATGTCAGAGTTGATGCTGAAATGTGAAGAAGAGGGATGCAACAATCAGCGGCACTACCTGGTTACATAGAAAATCAAGTTTCAGATGCGTCTACTGTCTTCCTCCCTTCCTTACACTCTACCTTCAAAGCTATTTCTATCTCAGTTTGCCTTCACTGTTTTCCCACGTAACTTCTGCCAACTTCTTTCCCACACACAGAAAACTAGATGCTAGCATGGTGGTTTCAGCGAAAAGTAAAAACCACCACACCTACCCACAGCCACTTCCTTTTTCTCTGCAATGGATACAGGATTTTTTAGGCACGAAAAAACTATAAAGCTTTTATACTCGTTAACTGTATTTGTATAGCTTTTGATATGTTTCTTGCTTCTAGAACAATATTCTTTAAGATACCAAACACAAACTTTTTTAACTCCATTCTACTGCCAGAGGTAATCATTACAAATCCACAAGTAGCTAAATTAATAAACTCCCTTTTTTTTTTTATCACTTTTGCCATTGTACTTCTCCATAGCAGAATAAACACTAAACTAAGAGTCAGGGGTCTGAGATTTTTGCCAAGTTGCAGAATATAAGGTAGGTTAAAAGCCAAAAGAAAACCCTTAAAAAAAAAGGAAACCAAAATTTGGTGCCATTGCCTCTGGGAACTGAAACCAAACTTGATGTTTTAATATAACTGACAAATTTAATTTCACATGTGCTTTGCTTTTAATGGTTCATTAGAGTCTTTTAAAGAACCTTCCGTTCACTAAAGTATAAACAAGTCTTCCTATGAAATGTATAAAAATTCTGTTGAAAACAGAAAAGAGGTGTTTCCCCACAGGTAAATACTGAAGAGGAAATATATCAGAATATAACATTATCAGTGCATCAAAACAGCAAAATGATATGGAAGACTGTCCTGATAATGAAAGCATCTACCCATTAGACATGTCATACAATAACAAAACCTTCTCAGAAGATCCGATTTCAAAGGTTTTTCTGTTTTAAGGAAACATTTTTACAAGGGGGTGATCAACTTACCCAGATTTTCACAGGAGGATTAAAATAGTAGCATGGAGTAAGAAAAGACTGCTGCAGCTCTTTTATTGTTTACTTTTAGCTTCTATTTCTAATTTATTTAAGTTCCTGTAATAATATTTCCAGGCTCATCAAAAGGGGAAATATCCAAGCCACTAAATGCCTGCGCGAAATATCATGGTATACTGTGTGTAAACACGCACACACATACTTGGCGTACGTTAAGGTACGACAGCTACTCGCAGTGGAGGGACCCACATTCGTAAGAACCTCAAAATCTTGGGCAGCTACAGAAATAGATAAAACACTTTTTCTTGATGCAGTTCTTGGGGGTTTAAATGACTGCAAAAGGTACTGGGCCAGGCACAGCACAGCCTTGCTTCAAATACCCTGATGCAGAGCTATCCAGGTGGCCAGACCACCATGAGCGTAGACTGTGGAGACACAAAGCTGCTGCCATCTCCCATCCTCCACAGACTTGCAAAGCTGTCCTGGCCAGAAAGGAAGTATAACCAGGGTGGCTGGGAGTGTGCTAAGCTAGAATAAATAGTTTCCCTTACTGAGGCTTCTATGGGGTTCATACTATAACAAAGCTGCCCGGCTCATGTAGAATTTACCACCTTGAATAAATTTGATGAATGTAGCCTAGGAAAAGTAAACAGCAGTGAGGCAGACTGGTGGGAAATAAGACTTTTTTTTCTTTTCTAGAAATCCCTAACAACTTTCCTTTTCTATTCCTATATGAAGGATTTGCAGCAGTAGAGACGGTGCCTTCAGACCTGAGGAGGTTTTATGCATCTGAAGATCTTACATGGAACAAGCAGACATTGCTTAAATCCTTAGCAAAGATGTATTTATTTGCTCCTGCATGCAGCTGGGGCTATGGGTCATGGGATTCCACGTGCCTGCAATGCCAGCAGCAGGAGAGACCTGAGTGGGTAGGTGCACATTGTGTATCTTGGGCTGCATCAAAAGAAGCATGACCAGCAGGTTGAGGGAGGGGATTCTCACGCTCTGCTCTGCTCTCGTGAGACCACACCTGCAGTCCTGCATTCAGCTCTGGGGTCCCCAGCAAGAGAAAGATATGGACCTGTTGGGGTGAGTTCAGAGACCACGAAGATGCTCCAAGGGCTGGTGCACCTCTCGTGTGAAGACAGGCTGAGAGCTGGGCTTATTCAGCCTGGAGAAGAGAAGGCTCCAGGGAGACCTTAGAGCAGGTCCCAGAGCCTAAAGGGGCCTACAAAATATCTGGAGAGGGGTCTTTTACAAGGGCGTGTAGGGACAGGACAAGGGGAATGGCTTTAACCTGACAGAGGGGAGATTGAGATTAGACATTTGGAAGAAGTTCTTCCCTGTGAGGGTGTGAGGCACTGGCACAGGTTGCCCAGAGAAGCTGTGGCTGCCCCATCCCTGGCAGTGTTCAAGGCCAGGCTGGATGGGGCTTGGAGCAACCTGGTCTAGTGGAAGGTGTCCCTGCCCACGGCAGGGGCTTGGAACTGGATGAACTTTATGGTTCCTTTCAACCCAAACCATTCTGTGATTCTAAGTGGGAGCATAGCCTGAGTAGTATAATGATAATAGGTTTGGGATACATGTATTAATGTGGCCATAAATCTGGGCTGGATACTGGAGAGACCAGAGGGTCTGTGATTTGGCTACTGGAGCGATCAGGAGGTCCACACCAGCTGACTGGGAGACTGAAGGGCCTGGGACTTGTTTGACAGACCTCTTTGCATGTGTGTCTGAATATGAGCGTTGAGGCTTTCCAATACTGAATGACTGAGGTTGAGGACACTGGATTCTGCAATTCCTAACTTAGGACATATGCTGAAGTATCAGACTTAGACTAGGTGTGCCTGTGAATGCAATACTTGCACATCGAGAAAGACACACAAAAATATACTGATGAGATTCAAAAGAAATCAAAGGACCTTGGAAGGTGTTCAGGCAACAAGTAATGAGAACCTAGAGACACACACATAAACGTATGGGTTTACACTTAACTCACATATAGACAACTACTTGATGACATCTGAACCTGTCTCAGCAAGCTGATCCCCATCCTGCATTTTTATGCAATCAACCAAGCATAATATGATCAAGACATAAGTGCTCACAACATATAGAACCGGCTAATTCACTGTTACAAACTCAAACCCAGGCAAGGATCCCATAAAATCAGAGAGGACAAATCAACTACTAAATATATTTGGACTGGATAATATCTGGCTCGCATCTCTGCAGTATTGTAAGAATATGCAGTAAATTTGTCAGCTGTTTGGCAGGAATGCACTTGGAATATGCAGCAGCATATTAGTTCTCAGAGATGTTTCCATACTATAAGCAAGTGTCCTCCTAAATATACGAATTTTTGGAGACCTGACAGGCAGGTGGTGACAAAGAAAATCAGTTTTACAGTCTGAGCTCAAGAAAATCCAGAAAACTTCCAGCAAGTCAAATACCAGAAGGACAAGCACTGCAAATAGCTAAAAATCAGTAAAAACAAACTTTGGAAAATCAGTAGTACAGCTTGTTGAAGTAATTCAGCTTTGTGCCATCAGACATTGACTATGAAGACATAAAAACTAGGAGATCCGGTCCCTTAGAAAAGAGAATATTGGGAGACTACACGTTTCTTTCTGATGACCATGGGAAGGAGGCTATCAGTGCAGTAGATACCCCAGAGAAAAGATTAGGACAGTACCTTTTTCAAAGTCTCAAAACCTAAAGCTAGCTCTTCTCTCTCCATTTTGTTTGCCACAGCAGCTGCTGAACAAATTAGGTACAAATAGTCTGAAAGGAGAGATAATGTGCCAAACCAGAAAACTGATTAGACATAGACAGGAGGACACATTGTGTGGGGAGCCGAAGAGGAACAAAAGAACAGAATCTTGGAATACTTCTAAATTTCTGTTAGGTACTTTATATTAGAGAGAGATGATGTGACAGATTGCTGTTTTGTAGCCATTGTTCCTTCCTAATACCATCAGTGAACTTAGTAAAGGGACATGAATTTAAACAATCTTGCTTGTTTATTGCCTTAGCTTAATGAAAAAGGGAACAATT